CATGGTTAAATATGGTGGCATAACCATCTTTTGCTTTAACTCCACTGTTAGAGCACTTCCTGTCTCTCCCAAGCTATTACTTCTTCAAAAAACTCCATCCAAATAGGCTTCTCATTCCCTTACAGGTTACTTCTCTGCTCCCTACAAGCCTGGACATATAACTCCTCTTGGGGGAAACAAATCTTTATACCTAAATTTACCGGCACTGGTTCAATGTGAATTTGAAAAAAGTTTCATATTTACTAGACAAATGGGCCAAAGTCAATTATTTAACCTTGTGGAGGGTTATTTCATTCATTTCCAAAGAGGGATAATTTCCCTGAATCATTACAGTTTTGTTAAGATTAGTGATAACACATATAAAGCTCTTAGCATAGTCCTTCAACTATTGCCAAGCTTAAATAAATAGTAAATATTATCTGTACATATTATCTTCTGCTTATTTACCCTACTTATTATTCCCTATTTTTCAGTATCTTGATTGAGTTATCTACAACTAGACTCATCTTCTAAGAACTAATGTTATGAAATTATCTCTGAAACTTTTCTTCTTCCTTTGAGTTCTATGCATGATATATTTGCTAAACATAATGAGTACTTTTCCATTTACCTCACCATACACTATGTATCATACAATAATAAGGTATTTGACCTTGTTAAACATACATCCTTGAAACTCTGCTCCCCTTGGTTTCTATAACATCAGTTGAGCCATATTCTCTTTTTCCCACTCTGAAGCACTGTGTTGTCAGTTCTGTTGTCTCCACATTCTATTCCAGGTATCCCCTGTGTGAATAAGTTCTAGTGGATACTGACTCTGAACTTCTACACTTCTCTCTTTCTTTTTCTATCTTTCTCTCTTCCTGCCTCTTTTTCTCCCTCCCTCTCCTAGATACTTCTTTGCCCATGATATCAGTTAACTATAAGTTGAAGAGTCTCAAATTTATACTCCAATTCTTATTTCCACTCAAAACATCACGCTATTTTAAAAACAGATTGTTTCCCCTTTATTTGGATTTTATTTTCACATAAAAATAAACATTTTATAATTGGCCTTTACCCCACATCCACAGCCAGCCCCAAGAGCCTTAACAAAAACACATCAANAGATGTAATAATATTAGTTGTTTTTAAGTCAATTTTATGTATGCATTAGGGAAGAAAAGTTTTTGATTCACATACAGATAAGCAAGAATTCATAGTGGCTTGTCAACAATAAATTCACATTAACAATACCTAGGTTAAGTAAATATAATGTGCTAAGTCTATAATAAAATACTTCCTATATTTGATATTTCCTTTAGTAAACACTCAAACACACACATTTATTGGATTCTATTCCTTGGCTCACCCCTCCATTTGTATTCATTTCTCCTAAGTATGGGCCCTAAACACAACCAATGCTTCCGGATTTATTGGAAACGAAGAAGCAACTCCCATCTCAGTCAGATGTAAAAAAATGGTATCACAAACTAACTCCCCAAAAGTACCATAGTCATCTACCCTTTTGGGGTAGGAAAGACATTATCATACAGTAGTTTTTTTAGCAGTTAACAATTCACTCAACTTAATTATCTTATTTGATCAACATCCAAGAAAAGTTTTTACTACACGATTGGTGCAATTAGCTTATCTTCCAGAAAGCTGAAACAAAGGTAGACCATTTTCCCTAGGTGATTCAGAGGGAAGAAATCAGTGGGGCACTAGATGCCAGCCTTTTGGCTAGGTAGGGCTAATTGTCTTTAACAGAACACAAATTGCTTCCCATCTAGAATTTCTTAAAAAATGTATTGCTGCTATTCAAACATTAATAATAAGCGATGGATTTCTCTATATGTATTTTAAGAAAACTTTGAACATTCTTAAATGACAGGAACGAGAAGAAAGGGAATTTTCAGACACAAAGAGAAGGGATGGTCAAACGAAGTAGCAATGTTTTATGAAAATAAATTGTCACTGCTGTAATTTAAAGATATACTCATAAATCTTTTCAGAATACAATATACAATATATTGAAAAGTACCTAATTCTGTATATTTATGACTTGAATAGGTGCTGAAGAGTCAAAAGTAAATGACTAGAACAGTAACAAAATCAATATTTATATTGATTTCCTGACTTTTTTTTTATCTTACAGTACATTCCACATATTTGTGAAGGTTTAAATATTTCCATGAAGACTTTCATCAAAGTTTTCTATAATTGTCTACCATTGTAACATTTTCAAATTGACAGCTTTCTGAATATCCCTTCTAATGATGGCCTGGATGCAAAATGAAAATATGTTGTTGTCGGAATAGAGTACAATCATGTTTTTATTTGTTTATGTGTTTATTTATTTATTTTTAGGGAAGTTGATTATATTCAGCCAATCATCAGGAAATACCTTCTACAAAAGTTCTTGTTGGGTCACTATTTTTGTTCAAAATAAAAAGTATAGCTATGCAATACATATATTAGTATATCCATTCATATAACATTCAATAAAATTCACTTTAAATCAGGATACACTATGATTGATATATTCAGGTTGAAATCATTCAGAAACAGCAAATAAAAGCAGTCGCAAAAAAGGGCTAGTTATTTATTTCTCAAAATGCTTGTTTGCCAGAGAGTCTGCTTTTTATTCATCACCTTATTAAGACAGAACGCTGGCTAACTAGAATTATTAGTCCTATTTCTCTAAATCCACCAGGCACTGACACAGNTAAGATATTATATGCAAACCCCCTGGAGCAGTGCATCATATTAATAGTATGTAATTCGTGCTAGGCAATATTATACTTACTAGTATCAATACTATTATTGGGTTACATCCACTAGGCAAAGAGGCTTAGCTCTTCTTTAGAGTACTTCATACTCTTTAAAAAGTTTCACTTAAGAAGCTATTATGCTTTGTTATCAAATGTAGGCAGATCTCG